AGCTTGGCCTCTGGACTCTACTTGGACTCCTACCTTACAGGTCTACAGTTCGAATCTCCCTACAGCCTACAACCTACGGCGACCTACTTACCACTGGCTATCGTGCAGGTCACAGGTTCAACTCCAGGGAACTGTGCAGATACTGTACCCAGGTAAGCTGAGGTCAAGGGATCGACCCCTGGGATCTGCATCGGCTACTGCCAAAGGTGAAAACTGTTTCAACACGGACCTTGTAGCTGTATTTGGGGCAACTTTCGGTCTAGATGCAGTGATAATGACCGTGCATTATTCCAGGGAAAGACAGTAGGCCCAAAATGGAACCCAGCAGTCAAGGTGCTGCATTAGCCCCCCAAAATGATGTCCGTCCCACAGAGGTCCCAGTAACATGCCACAGAGAGTTTTTGGAATGAGATGTTGCCTACCATGTACCCAGACTCTTGGCAGCAGGTGCCTCTAGGCCACAACCCACACCTCCAGCCAACTGGCCGCGTCCAGAAAGAGCAGGGACATCATTGTAAGACAGCAATCTGTAACTTCTCCGGACTGAACCTGACGTTCATTTACCCTCATCAGATGCATTGAGGAAAGTCATGGTTATGATCCAGACGTCAGGACTCCAGTGCAGACGGTCCAGGCCTGGTATCTGGTCTAGAGTGTCTGAATCCATCCCCCCGGCCCCACCCCAAAAGAAAATCCGACTTAAAAAAAAAAGTCAAAAAAATCTGAAAAAACTTCAAAAAAGATATGCTATGCAGCATTGCAATACAAAAATCTCTTGCCTGAAGACCATCTTGAAATTCGTAGCCAGATCCAAGGGAAAGAGAAAAAACGTTTTTTTTTTTTTTTTTAACTGCGCCCCACGGATATGCAATGTACATAATAAACCGAGAATCTGCAATGTGATGAAAAGGACTGAATAGACAATGCGGTACGAGTAGAATCTCGACAAGCAATGTACACTCTCATTCNTGCAATGTGATGAAAAGGACTGAATAGACAATGCGGTACGAGTAGAATCTCGACAAGCAATGTACACTCTCATTCATACATAAAGRTRCTGAAGAGCGCAGGGAAGACTTTGATACAAAGACTGACCTRACAGGACTGACCTCATCCACGTAGTTCAGARTAACGAAGCAGAACGCTAGAGTACTACTAACGAGCCCAATCAATGTTTGAACTCAGACTAAACATGCATTGTATCCATCACCAAGTGTGAAGGAGCCTGGCGCTGCACACAGGAAGAAAGCGCCAGGTCCAGACATACACAGACGAAGASAWAAGGATCAGACGAAAGGAGRGAAGAAGGTGGGAATGTCRTTAACACCAAGTCTTGGTCACCAATCCCAAATAGTCCCTCGTTGCCAYGTCTGAACCTCCGAAAGTCGAGTCTGGATCAAATGTCACCAAGCTCTGTATCTCTTCTCTCATAGTCTGCAGATGCAGTGAAGTCAGAAGTGAGAGGGAGAGAAGAGATGGTGGACTGAGAAGAAGAAGAAGAAGAACTCTCTCTCTCTCTCTGTTACGAACCAGAYACTAACCTGTGATGTTRGCGCTGTGCTGCAGGTACCTCGAAGACGAAGCTGGAGCAACGGCGCTGCAGGTAGGTACCTCTGGCCTCCGCCCAAGCTCTCTCTCTCTCTCTCTAGTACTACCTAGCTATGGCGCCCAGCGCTGGAGACTACAGCTACCTACTGCGCCCAGCGCTGAAGACTACTAGCTAGCGCTACCACTACTACAACGCAGCGCTCCCTCCAGAGTGCTGCACCCGAATCCTGAAGACTACAACTGCCCGACTGCCTACCTCGGAAGTGCCTGGGAAGTCCTATGTACTACCTCGGCCTGCCTCCTGACTGCTGGAGGCCAGTCAGGCCGAGGAGGCAGCTCTTGCCAATGCCGAAGTGTGCCAGGGGCTGGCATGCAGCAGCCTGCTCGAGGCTAGCGTGGGAAACAGACTAATAATAGTCTGTTTCCGAAACCCTGGTTCGATGCCTGAGTTTCAGGGCCGGTCGTTCTGATGAATGACCGATAATGGCCCTTCGTTTTAGGCTAAAAAGGCTGTTGCCATTTTTAGTCTGAAACGACCAGGGATAGGCCCTGAACTTCAGGCTTTCGTGCTGAGCCGACAGGGGGCCTGTAAGCCCTGGATTTCAGGCTTTCGGCCTGAAGTTCAGGCTTTTGGCTTGAACACCGTCGGGCCTGCAAAATGGCCCATGTGTGCATGCGCTGCATGTAACACCCCCCCCTCCTTATGAAGTCAAGTCGGGGCGAGGGCGAAGCCGTCGATCTGAAGGTGGAACCTGAACGCGGGCGCGGCGGGGAACCGAAGAAACCGGCTTGCCTTGCATCTTGCGTTCGTAGCGTGCGAGGACGTCTGGAGCTGTTGTTTGAAGTTCCCCACGGGCTAACCAATGGTCAGCTCGGTGTGTGCAGTATGCAAAATGCACTAAATACTCAGTTGGCTTGTTGCCAAAACGTCGCTGGGAGATGATGTCGCCGACCTCCTGAAAACCATCCATAGAAGGTGGGTCTTGCGTACGTCTCCCGGGAAAGTCGTCATGATCCGCTGGCGTGTAGAAAGCCAGTTTGGAGCAATGAAAGACTGGGTAGACAGGCAAGTGGCTAGGCACCTGAATCGTGAAGGAGGGTCCTTCGGGTGCGTCCCCAACGGGCTCTATGATCGGCCAAGGCCCCATCCATTTCGGGAGAAGCTTCCGAGAGACGTCTTGTTCAAGGCTGAATTCCGCTGTTGAAACCCAGACGAGGTCCCCGGCGCGGAATGGACAAGGAAGACGCTGGCGATTTGCCTGTTGGCTCATGCGCTGCTGCGTCTTAGCCATCTGGTCGCGTGCCTTGACAAGAAGCTCTTGCATCCGACGGAAGAAGAGAAGATGGTCATCGCTCTCGGTCGTGCGTGGAGTAATAGTGTCCAACGGTGATGTGACCGGCGAGCCATGCTCGAACTCGAAGGGCGATATCCCAATAGCCGGGGGATGGAAGAGTTGTAGGCCAACTCAACATCCGGCAGTCGCTCAACCCAGTCTTTCTGGTCGGGGCGGATGAGAGTGCGAAGGAGAACYTKWGCRGTCTGATGCGCCCTCTCCGTCTGGCCATCGGTCTGAGGGTGGCGAGCTGAACTGGGCTTGAGAGATGAGCCCCATCGCTTGATGAGCGCCAACCAAAAATCGGACATGAACCGAGTGTCGCGGTCGCAGACGATCTCCTTGGGGTAACCCTTGGTGCGACTGGCAATGATCGTAACTCGCCGTACGGACGATGGTTGCGGGATTTGCAGCGTCGGCAAACCTCGCATGACTCGCAATAGCAAGTGACATCGCCGAGAAGGCCGGGCCACCAAAATCGCTGGCGAAGTCGGCCAAGCGTGCGATTGACTCCAAAATGTCCAATGGCGGGAGCGTCGTGGAACTCGCCAAGAAGGCATGTACGCAAGTGAGGATCACTCGGTACGCAAAGAAGATCCTTCCCCCTCGTGTGGACAAGCAAGTACCCCTCTTGGATCCGGTAGTGAGAAGGAGCCGGATTAGGAGAGGAGCAATTCGCGTACTTGTCGCGAAAATCGGGGTCGGCTTGGTAGCCGCGGATGAAGCTGTTCCGCAGGTCGTCGTCGATCTCGAAGGTTGAGTAGACCGCGGTACAATGATCCGGACGCCGTGAAAGAGCATCCGCAAAACGGTTCGACTTCCCGGGAATGTGATCGGGAAAGAAGTCGAACTGGTCGATGAAAGCCATCCATCGAGCGATGGTGCTGTTGACGGTGTCTTGGGTCTTGTAGAAGACCAACTGATTGTTGTCCGTTACCCAGCGAAATTGGCTTCGACCAAGGAGGAAGTGCCGCCACCACTTGAGTGCGTGGACGAAGGCGAGGAGCTCCTTCTTGCGTTTATCGTCAATGGAATGCACGAGGGGCACTTTCTTGCTGAAGTACTCGACCGGGTGCCAGTCCACACCATCATGTTGCTCGAGGACTGCCCCAATGTCATAGCCTGACGCATCCGTAGTGACACGCGTAGGCGCGAGCGGGTCGTAGATTCGCAAGACCTCCGCAGACAATAGCGCGGCTTTGAGAGCGAAGAATGATCCTCGCCCCTCCTCTCTGAAGTCAAACGGTCGATCCTCGCACTGAAGCTTGTTCAGGTGGGCCGCGATCTTGGAGTAGCCTTTGATGAAGCGCTGATAGTAGCCAGTAAGACGGAGGAACGAGCGGACATCCATGACGTTCCGAGGCTCCGACCACTCTTGGACGGCCTGAATCTTGTCCGATAGCGGACTGATGCCCTCCGGTGTGACAAAATGGCCCAAGTATTCCAGCTCTTGCCGGACAAATTCGCACTTGTCGCGGTTGGCTTTGTACTTGGCACGGCGGAGCGTCTCCAACACTCTGTTGAAGATGTCCAAGATGATCCTCCAATGTCCGACTGTAGACTAAAATATCGTCTAAGTAGACCAGCACGAACCGGTCCAACATCGCACGGAACTCATTGGTCATCGCCGCCTGGAACGTCGCTGGGCCATTGGTGAGGCCAAAAGGCATGACCACCCACTCAAAATGCCCATACCGCGTCTTGAATGCGGTTTTGTAGCGATCGTTCGGTTGAATCGAGATTTGAGGATATCCTGATTTCCAATCCAACTTGGAAAAATATTTCGCACCGCCCAGTCGCTCGAGAAGATTGTCGATGCGAGGAAGAGGCCCCGCATTCTTGACGGTTTGCGCGTTGAGCTTGCGGTAGTCGATGCACAATCGTAGATCCTTGTTCTTATTCCTGACGAAGAGAACTGGTGCTCCATATGGGGAGCTACTCGGGCGGATCCAGCCCTTGGCCAACAAATCATCGAGCTGTGCGCGGAGTACCTCAAGCTCCTCCTCGCTCATCCGATAGATGCAACCTTTCGGGGGCACGACACCGGCCTCAAGAATGATCTCGTGAGAGATCGGCCGGCCCGGCACCACACCGGTAGGTGACTTGAAGATGTCGGCGAACTCGTCCAGCAACCGTACCACACGGGGGTCCGAAGACAAGTCTGTGGGTGAAGAGTTGGCTACCACGACGGTCCGTAAGAAACATAGGCCGATCTCCTCGGGCTGCTCGTAAGCGCAAGTTGCCCGGAATGATTTGGCCGTCACCACTTGGCACCGGATCGAAGAGTGCGGTAGAGGAATAGTACACGCCACTTCCACGCCGAAGGCGTCGCGAACGCTAAGAGTCCGCCAATGGAAGTTGACCGTGTGATCCGCACTTGCAAGCCAAGGCATTCCCAGAATGATGTCGAAGTCCGTGTCGAGAATATCTAATGTCCCCGGTTCGCATGCATGAGGTGCGAAGTAGACCGGTACGGCCTCGATGTAACAGTCGAGAAGTTGCTGCGTCTTTCCATCTGCCAACTTTATCGCCGTTGGGTTTGCCTTCCTCCGAACTTGTGCGCCAAGGCCAACCCTTTGCATAAAGGATTGGCTCATGAAGTTGCGAGTCGCGCCGCTATCCAGCAAAGCGCTGCAGGACGCTTGCCCAACCTGGATGCGAACGTACATGAGCGGTGCATTGTTGTTATCGTACCGCTGCGTGCGAAACTCGCGGGCCACCTTGGTAGTATATGCCAGGATGTCCCCCACCGCGACTTCGTCCTCCGTCGGCGAAGTTGGTGGTGCATAGAAGGAAAGGTAAGTGTGGAGATGAGCGCTAAGTGCTGCGCATTGCGGTCCCGACAATCAGCCTGTGGTCGGGAGAGGAAGCCATGCAAAGTCCTCAGACGTGAGCGGGTCCAATGCCTCTACATTGAGCTTGCGCGCCGAATCCCGTGATGAACCACTTGAAGACGATATGTCGCTGTTGTCGGACGGAGAAGAAACCGCACACACTCCTTGTCCTTGAGCTTGAGTACCCAGCGTTGGAACGAGCCAGGCAGCATAGTCCTCAAAAGAAAGTAGAAGCGGAGGACTGTCGACTTCCGCGTGCGCCTCGGAATGAAGGCTGGTCACTCACGAAGAAACCAGTTCCGAAGGCGTCAAGAGTGTCGTCGCGTCACTCTCGGCGGCTCAGTTTCCCTGTCTGCCCTTGCCTTTAAATGGGCAAACCTGCGTCTGATGAAGATCGTTGTTGCACCAAAGGCAATAGTGGAATCTCTCGCGCGCCTTGTATGCGGACTCGAAGATGCCATACGGGGTCCATGGGCGTGTCTGAGCCGCTGCACCGGGCCCGGGGCTAGAAACGGTGTTTGTCTTCGTCTTGCTGCGTCCTCGGCCTCTGCCGGGGCGGCCACCTTCCCGGGCGGCTGCGAATCTGTCCCCTTCACTGGCAGACACAGCCTCGCTGGTTTGGTCTAACGGCGCTGCCGCTGCGACCACGGCCACTCTTGGCCGATGCTGGTCCCTGCTCGGGCCTGACGCAGATGAACGGAGGTTCTTGGCCTCCTTGTTCGTGACGATGATCTGCGCAGCCTTGTCAAATAACTCCGCCGTCGTCGTCAAGGTGTCCTCGAGGGCATTGCTCAATGCCGGACATGACCTTGAGATGAAGTAGTGGCGGATGGCCTTGAAGCCCATCTGGATGTCTGGGACTGACGTCAAGCGTTGGTACTCGACGATCCAGTCCGTACTCGGCAGCGTGCCTTGCTCGAAGACCATGAGCTTGCTCATGGCTTTGATCTCTGGCGGCTCCACCTGGAACCGCTTGTGCCACGCCGCCTTCAGATCATCCAGGTGATCTTGGTGTGCAAGTCGTTAGCTACCACTCCGTATTTGGACAACAGGTTGTCCAACGAAGCCTGACACGTGCTCCCTGAGCGAGAGTACAAGTATGTGTGGTGCTTGTGTTCCTTGACGTTGTGGAGCTGCAGTGTGAGCTCGAACTTGCGAAACCATGGAATCGGATCTGTCTTCATGGCGTCGCAGAAGATCTCCTGCCCGTCAAACTTTGGAGTTGACTCGCGCGGCTCCGTACTCGAGGCAGTGGCGGTGGTACAGACCCGCTGCTGCAACTGTTGCGTCGTGGTGAGCTGTAACTCTGCGCCGTCCTGGAGGGAGCCGACGTGGATCTCCAATGTGGTGAGGCGGTCGGCAGTATTGGAAGAGCCTGCGTCGGCGGCGGCGACTGGTCGCTGCTCCAACCGCTGAAGGCAGTCTTGGAGATGAGCTACCGAGTTGTCGAGACCAAGAATCTTCGCCTGCTGTGTAATGAAGGTTGCCAGGAGATCCGTGAGATGCGAGAGGAGGAGCGCTATCTTGTTTGCGCTGTCCTCCAACTGGCTATTCTCGGCCTCGGTTCGCCATTCTGCTGCCATGGTAAATAACGCCCGCTCTCTGGTGAATATCTTCTCACGACGCTGTGTTCTTTCTTCATTAGCAGCCCTTGCTGCTGCCTCGTCATGCTTGCGCTGTTGTTCAACTGCCAGCAGACGTGCCTGCTCGGCATCCTCTGCCCTCTTCTTCGCTGCTGCGGCAGCGTCATCTGCTCGTTTCTTAGTCTTCGTACTCCAGGCTAACATGCGAGCCTGATAGGCCTCGTCTGTTTCCCCAGGCCTCTGGTCCATGACTGCTGTCTGTGAACGCAACAGCGTAGACCAGACCGGACCTGCTGACGTGGTATCCCTTGCTGCTGACGTGGCATTGCTGACGTGTCCTGCTGACGTGGTCTGCTGACGTGGCCTGCTGACGTGGCCTGCTGACGTGGCAACTTACCAATGCCGTCACAAGGGGTACCCGGAGATACAAAGAGCAGATAAGGCAAGAGATGGCAACTGCATAGGTGGGGAGGGGTGGGTGGGATAATCGCCCAACTCACACTTAGATAAGGAGCCACTAATCAAAATAGAAAAGTTTGAACTTTGAAAAAAAAAATTTCAAGAAAATAAAAATCGCGAATTTTGCAATTTCGGTAGGTCTCCCAACCTCCCTTGAAGTTCGAAATGATCACTGAAAGCAAAAGTTTTCGACTTTGGACTGTAACCGATTTGTAGAACCACTGACAGAATCCAAGAACTGCGAGAAAAAAATTATCTGAACAGCAATGACAAGTATTCGGATTTATTCCGATGGGAATATTCGCAGTTTGAAAAAATAATACGTGCAGGAGGGATTTCCCGTACCGTTTTCAGAAAAACGAATTTCAGAAATGAAGATATTCCGACGTTCTAAGTAACGGGAAATGCAACAGGAAATCGAAATTTTCGAAAAGAAAAATATTCCAGATTTTTAACAACGAAATTTCGGATTTTCAGAAAAAAAAACGAAAATAGGAATTTCAGATGTTGCGATATAGCGATTTTCCACAGCAAAATAGCGAGAAAATAAAATCCGAGAAAATAAAAAATTTCGATTTTTTTTTTGTAGTAAGGTCAAGATCGTGATTTTGGGGTCTAACTAGTATGTCCTAATCAAACAGAAAAGACTAACTAGCTTTTTGATCCCCGCACACGTGTCAGATCAGATCGTCCTGATTCACGTGCAAAAGCTCTGATACCAACTGTTACATGCACGGATATGCAATATACATAATAAACCGAGAATCTGCAATGTGATGAAAAGGACTGAATAGACAATGCGGTACGAGTA